GGGTGCAGGACAGAGGACGAGCAAAACATGGAAATAGTCCAGTAGGGAGACTTTGGAGTCCAGCAGAGTGGTGAAGGTGGCCTATAAATTCAGTGGAGAAAAATAGCATTGATAGGTAATCTGTCACAAATCAAAGGAATGCAGGAGCCTATTAGCTTTCTAGAAATCTACCCTTGAATTTTGTTCATAAGTTGTAATCTTGGAACTGGTTCAAAGGGAAAGACCATATAGAAAACTAGGGAATAACAAGCAATGTGGAAGAGAATAAACAGTAGATCAATATTCTGCATTGCATGTAAGCATTTTAAGAGAAATTGAAAGCTAGGCTTTTACTGATGATATATTGTACCACAGAGAAAAAAAATTAAGTTAACGGCATTTCTCCAATGATTTATTGGGTAAATGCTCCCAGGGTTCTAGCAAAAAAAAGTTTTTAATGAATTGCTATCTTTTTGGAATGATTAATAAAGCAAGGTAAAGTTATGGTGCCATTTGCACACCAGGAAACAAGGATTCAATCACAGAAATCAAAACAATTTCATTTGCAGAAAATGACTCTTGCATGAATTTCCAACACCTTGAATATGTATCCAGGAAACAAACCGTCCAACTAAGATCAGCTCTTTCCAAGACTGGCCATTTTTTATTTATTCACTTAAAACAATTGTTTTAAAGGTTTTATTTATTTGAGAGAGCGAGTCAGATCATGAGCTGGGTGGGGGGGAGAAAGAGGGACAAGCAAACTCCGCACTGAGTGCGGAGCCCAACAGGGGGCTCCATCTCACGACCCTGAGATCATGACCTGGGCAGAAATCAGGAGTGGGACGCTTAACCGACTGTGCCATCCAGGTGCCTCCAATTTAATGTGGGAACACCTGGGTGGCTCTGTAGTTTGATTGTCTGGCTCCTGGTTTCGGCTCAGGTCATTATCTCACTGGCTGTGGGATCAAGCCCCCTACCCAGCTCCTCACTCAGTGGGGATTCCGCTTGAAGATTCTCTCCCTCTGCCCCTTCCCCCTCCCAAATAAATAAATCTTTTTTTTGTTTTTAAGATTTTATTTTTTTATTTGACAGAGACACAGAGAGAGAGGGAACACAAGCAGCGGGAATGGGAGAGGGAGAAGCAGGCTTCCTGCAGAGCAGGGAGCCCGATGCGGGGCTTGATCCCAGGACCCCGGGATCATGACCTGAGCCGGAGGCAGACACCCAACGACTGAGCCACCCAGGCGCCCCCCAAATAAATAAATCTTAAAAAAAAATTTTTTTTAATGCTCTACCCACAATCAAAGGATTTAGGACATGATTATTAATGGAAAACATTTAATATCTCCAAGCAAGTTTTAAATTTTTCCTTTAAAGGCCACCATTCTGTCTTGAGCAGAAAAATACCATGTTCTGATTTCTAGGAGTATTGTTTGAGAACTCAGGGATTGGAGCCATATATAAGCATGACGGTTAAACATGCCCTTGGGAATAAGCCTGGACCCAGTTCCAGCTCCCTGATGCCACTTATCACCTGTATGCAAGTACTTCTAAGCCTTTGTTTCTTAATCTGTAAGATCAAGATAACAAAACCTTTAGAAGTTTCTTTTTTTCTCAGAGTTTCAAGTATTTCAAAAAGAGACAATGTGGGGGCCTGGGTGGCTCAGTTGGTTAAGCGACTGCCTTCGGCTCAGGTCATGATCCTGGAGTCCCTGGATCGAGTCCCGCATCGGGCTCCCTGCTCAGCAGGGAGTCTGCTTCTCCCTCTGACCCTCCCCCCTCTCATGTGCTCTCTCTCTCTCTCTCTCTCTGTCTCAAATAAATAAATAAATAAAATCTTTAAAAAAAAAAAAAGAGACAATGTATTTATATAAATGTTTAGCACAGTAACTGGCACATGCCTGAGTAAATGGGTACCTATTATTTATGCCCATTTGTTCTTTTTTTTTAATGACTATTTATTTATTTGACAGAGAGAGACAGCGAGAGAGGGAACACAAGCAGGGGGAGTGGGAAAGGGAGAAGCAGGCTTCCTGCTGAGCAGAGAGCCCGATGCGGGGCTCGATCCCAGGACCCTGGGATCATGACCTGAGCCGAAGGCAGAAGCTTAATGACTGAGCCACCCAGGCGCCCCACCCATTTGTTCCTAAAGCTGGACATGGTGGGGGCGCCTGGGTGGCTCAGTTGGTTAAGTGTGACTTCAGCTTAGGTCATGATCTCAGGGTCCTGGGATCCAGCCCCATGTTGGGCTCCCCACTCAGCGTGGAGTCCGCTTCTCCCTCTAACCCTCCCCCTACTTGTGCTCTGTCTCTCTCAAAAAAATAAATAAAATCTCTTAAAAAAAAAAAAAAAGCCAGACATGGTGAAGTGAATTAAAAATAGCCACAAATTGTTTGACATCCCTCCCATCTATATAAATGAGGTTTATGTACCCTCCCCTAAAATCTGGATGGGCTCTGTGTCTGTCTGACAATAGAATTCAGTGGAAGTGAGACTGTGCCAGTTTCCAGTCCCTAAATGACTGGCAACTTCCACTTCCTGTCTCTTGAAATATTTGCTCTTGGACCCGGCCACCATGGTGTGAGAAAACCCAAGCATCCCTGGGAAGACGTACGGGGAAAGAAACTGAGGAGCCCCCTCCCTGCCAACCACCAGTCCTCTAACAAACATCCACAGCTGAGCTCCCAGCCAAGAGCCAACAATAATTTGCCAGTCATGTGAGTGAGCATGTTGGAAGAAGCTCCTCTAGCCCCATTCCAGCTGCCCCAACTGATGCCAAGTGGAACAGAGACTAGCTGTCCCTACCAAGTCCTGCCTAAATTGCAGATTAGTAAGCACAATAATCGTTGTTTTAAGCCACTAAATTTTGGGGTGGTTTGTAACAGCAATAGATAACCAGAACAGATGAAATCATCAAGTTTCCTACTCCACTCTGATCCCATATATGATTTAGAAGTAGAAAAAGGGTGGGCAAGTTCATTTAGTCCAGAAGAAATAAGTGGTTTATAAAGAAAAATAGGTCATGAGGAAATGCTGAGGTTGCTTTGAGCCGCAAAACCAGCACTTAACTTAAATGTAATTCAGTCTAGTTAATCAGCAAACCTTTATAGATACCTGTCTTCTACTTGGTGCTGACTATAGTACCTCTGAGAACTGATCTCGTTCACCCTGGATATAACAGTGTCTTGGTAACCATTTTTAGTTCCAGAACCCAATGTTACCTATTTTTTTTTTTAATTTTATTTGAGAGCGATCAGCAAGCATGAGTGAGCAGGGGAGGGGCAGAGGGGGAGGGAGAGGACAAGCAGATTACCGGCTCTATCCAATGACCCGGAGATCACCACCTGAGCCAAAAACAGAGTGGATTGCCCAACCAACCAACTGAGCCACCCAGACACCCCTTCACTATTTTATATCCATTCAAAATGTCAGTTCATTCAGGCTGGCCATCTGACCCTCAGATCAAACCTAAGCCAGACCTTAAATCACTCTAGACATGTACCACACATCTGGCCCAAGGGTATAATGCAACCAAAGACACATAACGCCTAGTGGTCCAATCAAGAGAAATCAGCTCTAGGGAATCCTTTTGCAAAATTTGGCAGTTTGGGAGAGGAGTTTTCCTGGAACAAAGTTACCCGATTTCTGATTACGTTGATTCAGTGATTGTCAACTTTTATCTTGCCTAATTAGCCAAGGAACTAATATATGCCAAATAATGTTTATGATGTGAACATTATCCTTTTGTGTGACTATTATCTTTATGATGTAAATTACAAGACGTCTACCTCTTGCGGTGGGCTTTCTTTCCGCAAAAGGGAGTAACTGTCTTGAGAATCAGAGTCTGCATTATCTGATTCAAAAGCTAAGGGATTGGCTCCCAAGAAATCTGCAGTTTACAGTGCTCTTAAAACCCACTTTAAACGATTTAATCTTCTTTTTAAAAAGATATTTATTTTAGAGAGACCACAAGGGATTGGGGCAGAGAGATATGGAGAGAATCTCAAGCTGACTCCACGCTGAGTGCGGAGTCCCACGCAAGGATGAATCGCAGGATCCTGAGATCATGACCTGAGCGGAAATCAAAGAGTCCCACCTCAAGGACTGAGCCACCCAGGCGCCCCCTATTTAATCTTCTTAAATCCTGCAATTTATTCCCAAATTGCAAGTGAAGAAATTGAGGCTCTTCGCTTCCATTCCTTCCTCCATAAAATGGGGGCAATGGGAGATTTAACCGCCACAAAGCGAGAGAACACTCCCGTAACCCCAAGCAAGCGTCCCATTGAGTCTCCAAAGGCTTCCCCTAGCGCCTCAATCCCTTTCCCTCACTTCCTCGCCCCATCTTTGCCCCACCCCCGGCGTCAAGCAGCGCGGACCTGTGATTGGCTCTCGGGAAGCGCGAGGCGGCAGAAGGGGTTTGGTGGCCGTGGTGACGGGAGGCGGGGCGCGGGGCCGGGCTGCGGGTAACTGACGCCCGGACCCCACAGCGCCAGCGGCGCGCACTGAGAGGCCTGGCCGGCTGTGGGGGGGCCCCGCAGGCGCGTAGCCGCTGCCGGGGAGCCTGAGGCCGGGCCTCGCACGCAGGGCCTACCCGGCTGCGCCGTGAGCGGCCGCGGCGTCGGCGGCGAGGCCTCCTAGATGCGCGTGGGGGCTCTACGGAGCAGAGCGGAGGCTGGGCCCGGGCCGCGAGCAGGGTAGGAGGCCGACCGGCCCGCTCGCCCCGCGGTGGATGCGGCGGCGGCGGCGGCGATGGACGCCCCAGAGGAAGAGAGCTTCGCGCTGGCCTTGTAAGTGACGCCGCCCGGCAGTGCCGGCGCTCGCCTGGGCCTCCGCCCTGTGAAACGGTGTCCTGGAGCGGGGAGATGGGGGTGAGGGACCGCCAAGGCTCCGCCCCAGTTCCCGCCGCCGATTGCGCGGCCGCAGCGACCGCCGGGTTCAGGCCGGGAGGACGGGAGTGCGGGGAGAGTGTCACGCGATGAGCAACGCCTCCATCACAATCCTCCCGCCCCGACCCTTAGTCGTCAGCAAAACCTGGCAGCTTTGAGCTGCCGAGGCCGACCACGGGTCAGAGGACCTTCCACCGCCACCACTTCCACCATCAACTCCTTCGGGGACTCCTGATCCGATTGCCCCCCAGGCCAGTATCTCGCTGGCGCCAGGTTCACGCTCACAAGCCGATAGGTGTGGGGTGATAGCGAAGATGCGGTGAGTAAACCTGAAGGACAAACATGCGAGGAACCTTAAGATGTGCCCTGCGAGCCGTTGCTCCCCTTTATTTGTCCCTTTTGTGGCTCCTTGTGTCCTAACAGGTTTTCTGAAAATGGAGCCATTCAACTTCGATGTCACAAATGTGTCAAGTGGGTTTTCCTTTTCGGAATTGCTACATTAGGCAATAATCAGTCTTAATTCGTTGAAGCTGGGTGATGGAAAGTTCACTTTGCTGTTCTTTTTTAGGCATGTTTGAAAATGTCCCTGATACACTTTTTTAAGCGAATTCTTTGAAACAGCACCTAATCCAGTTCTATTTTTCAGCTCTTCCGCCTCTGATGCAGAATTTGATGCTGTGGTTGGATATTTAGAGGACATTATCATGGGTAAGCTTCCTTGAGCCTCAGTCTTACCTGTGCTCTAAATTTAGTTCTTAGACCCTTGCGGTTTGGAGAGTTAATATTGAGAGAAAACAGCAAGCTGAATATAAATTTTAATGTAGCACAGAATAATAATAAGTAAGCCTTACTGTGATTTTAGAGGCAAACATCCCCCATGGTTTTAACAACTAATAACCATAGCTTCAGGTCCTGGGAGGGACTTATTCAGGTAATGGGGCCCTAGACTTCAGGAGCCTCTTGGCAAAACTTCAGGAGCGACTGACCTACTTTATTTCAGAGAGTAAGAGGAATTCCATTTTTCAGTTTTGAGCTTTAACGTTTTCATGACATGAACCACAGCGTAATACCATAGCCATAGCACACGTGTCCATGAAGAAAGTAAGTGCCATACTTCAGCTGGTTCTGTATTTTCCTGGGTTCTGAGTTCCTCTTTGTGCATTCATTTTGGTGCATACAGACCTGCTAAGTATAATAAGCAGTAACAGACACCCAAGGTTTAAGACAAATAACATGGGAGTGAAAAACTTTGAGAAAACTTTTTTTTCTTTAAATGAGGCAAAAAAAGGGACTCCGTTATTTTGGTGGTATTTCATAATCTGTGTTTCGTAGTCTAGTCTAGTCTGAAAATTACTGACCCAAGCTTTTGTATCTTCAGGTCCCAAAAAGGTTCACACCCTTAACACCTAAATACAGAGGTTTCACCAGTAAGCCCTTGTCCTGTGTGAATCTGAGGGCTTCTGGGGAATCCTCAGGAATACTTTTGAGTTCCTCCATCCATTTGGGCACCCTGTGTGCCGTGGGAAAAGGAGCCTTTTTAAAGCTCAGGGTATTTATCCTAAAGGCTAGGTCACTTGTGAAGCTTTCCTTTTACTTTCAGAATATTCTCTTCACTTGTTAAAATTACTTATTCTTTCACATTTAGGTGTTTGCTATAAGCTAATCTCTATACGAATCCTCTGAATTCCACCTGGCAATCCTTTATGATAGGTACTCTATCATCCTCATTCGCTAGTTGACAGAAGTGGGGCTTAGAGATACTAGGAAATGTCCCCAGGGTCACACAATTTAAGTGACTGAGCTAGGATCGGAGCCCATATGCTTAATCACTACACTGTTTCCACCATAGCTGCTGAAATCCTATTAAAAGAGAACCATCCTGGGGTGCCTGGGTGGCTCAGTCGGTTAAGCATCTGCCTTCAGCTCAGGTCATGATCCCAGGGTCCTGGGGCTGAGCCCCGCATCAGGCTCCCTGCTCAGCGGGGAGTCTGCTTCTCCCTCTCCCTCTGCCCCGCCCTTCCACTCAAGCTCTTCTCTCACTCGTTCTCTGTCTCTCAAAAAAATAAAATCTTTAAAAAAGAGAGAGAGAGAGAACCATCCCATTCCTTTGTGGAAAAGGAATGTAAAGGAGTTCCCAAGCCACCGTTTGGGTGCGTTTAAAATGGACCAAAGGATGATGGTAATGGTTGCACAACAACGGAGATGTACTTAATGTCACCAAACCACACTCCAAAATGGTTAAAATGGTGAATTTTATGTGATTAAAAATATTAGCATTTGTTATTAATAAAAAGACTGGATTGGGCTCTTTGAATGTCAGTGTCCTATTGAACACTTCCTTAAAACATCTTTAGTTTTCCCTCTCCTAGAGACCGGCCACTGAGAAAGCAGTTGAGCTGGCGCAGAATTCCTGCCTGCTTATCAGTCAGAATGGTTTTTAGTCTCTACTGAAAAGCATAAAATTTCCCTATTGTGGTTCAGATGCCGAGTTCCAGTTATTACAGAGAAATTTCATGGACAAGTACTATCAGGAGTTTGAAGACACAGAAGAGAATAAACTCACCTACACGCCTATTTTTAACGAATACGTAAGTGGTTTTGTTTCTCTCCCCGGAGATTAAGATTTAAATTCACATTTTGTGAATTTAAAACCAAAAGATGTTGACGTTTGCTGCACTTTTAGAAGCTGCCACCAATACCTGCCAGGAGTTGTTTAGAATCCGGTCTAGTTTTCACCTCCCATTGCTTTCCTCTGCAGTGTTTGGTGATTTTTGTCCAACTTCTGTTTTAAAAAATGGCTTATAGTCCTGTTTTCAGTTATAATCAGTTATAATATATGGGTTCACAATACCTTGCATTCATATGCTTTGACCTTTGGACTTGCACACACTACAGTTTACCCTCAAACAATGTGAGGAGGGGCACCTGGGTGGCTCGGTCGTTGGGCGTCTGCCTACTTCTCCCTCTCCCACTCCCCCTGCTTGTGTTCCCTCTCTCGCTATGTCTCTGTCAAATAAATAAATAAAATCTTTAAAAAAAAAAAATGTGAGGAGGGGCACCTGGGTGGCTCGGTCGTTGGGCGTCTGCCTGCTTCTCCCTCTCCCACTCCCCCTGCTTGTGTTCCCTCTCTCGCTATGTCTCTGTCAAATAAATAAATAAAATCTTTAAAAAAAAAAAAAATGTGGGGACTAGGGGTCCCAATGCCTGTGCAGTCCAAAGTCCCTGTATAACTTCTTACTCCTCAAAAATGTAACTACTAATAGCCTATTGTTGACTGGAAGCCTTACCAATAACGGAAATAATTGATAAACACGTATTTTGTAGAGATATCCTATACTGTGTTCTTATAATAAAGGAAGCTAGAGAAAAGAAAATGTTATTAAAATCATAAAGAAAATACAATTAAAGTCCTGTATTGTATTTGTCAAAAAAAAAACAAAAAACCCCACATATATGTGGAACCACGCCGTTCAAACCCTTATCGTTCAAGGGGCAACTGTATTTTTTTCTACTACATGTCCAGTTAGGTACTGCATGACTGTTAGGCAGAAGTGAAAACCAAGACCGAGATCATTAATTAGTTGGTGGGGAGACCAAGACTAGAACCCAGGAGCCTCAACTCTGGACCCTCAGGTTTTTCCATTGTGCTGAGGCCTCAAGTAACCTCCTGGAACGATCTCGTCTGTCTGAGCAAAGGTTTGATCCTCCCCACTTTCTTAACCTTAGAAACATGGCGGACTCGACGGTTTTCTCCAGACGGGCCTCCGCTTATAAGGAAACCGATTACCTGCAACAATATGCTTCTTTGTACGTTCTTTTTACAGATTCCATCTACCCAAGAAAAAAGGTCCTACTTACTCCATTCCTGGCTTCCTGTCACGGGGCGGGGCGGGGCGGGGGGGGGCGCCCTGCTGTCCGCTGCCTCCACCTACGGCGGCGCGTTCGTCTTGTCGCAGGGCAGTTCCCTGCGCAGCCGCTGTCCCGCGTGGGCCAGGGCGCATGCTCACTGAGGACGGGCGCTGCATTGTGGTTCTATGGTATCCGCAGCGCTCAGCGTGGAGCCTGGCACATAGAATAGGCTCTTAGAAAATGGTTGCAAAGGGCTAGAGGCCAGGCTTTCTGGAAAGCAGCCTTGTTTTCCTAAAACCAAGATCCTTTCCACCGTGACAGATTTCTTTGGTAGAAAAGTATATTGAAGAACAGCTGTTGGAGCGGATTCCTGGATTTAACATGGCAGCTTTCACCACAACTTTACAGTGAGTTGAGCTTGACTCCGTGTTTTTTTCTCCCCCTTCCTCCTCCTCCACTCTGAAAAAAGATCCTCCTTTTTCTTCATTGCATGAACGTGAAGGTTAGAGCACTTGGTGGTCAGGTCTTGGGGTGGGAGGCCCTCAAAAACCCTCTAGTGGGATCTTGAAGAGACAGAATCGGTTTCAGTCTTTGATGAAACAGCCATCCTTTTCTTTTGCAGGCACCATAAAGATGAAGTGGCTGGTGACATATTTGACATGCTGCTCACGTTTACAGATTTTCTGGCTTTTAAAGAAATGTTTCTGGACTACAGAGCAGTAAGTCACCCTTGCTCACTTTGTCAGCCACATCGGACCACTGAGCAAATTCCAAGTAGACCTGTCAAGCACAGACCAGCTGCCAGGTTTCTCCCCACGACTGGCCAGTGTCAGTCTGGTAGCTAGCAAGGTGTCAGGAGCATAGCTGCTTTCCCCCATCAGGGGCCCAGTACCCTTATTGAGGGACTGCATGCTTAGGTTTTGTCACAACAGGTCCCAGTTACCTCTTATACACCCTAAATAATCAAAAGGACAAAACCGAAAAGCAGGTCTCATTGCCTTGCCTCTCTCATAATGCAGGCTCTTAATAGGAAAAAATATATTTCAGTGAAGAGAGGGAACACTTTTTAAAGAATGACGGGGCCAGTGCTGAACAAGAATGCAAAATAACTTCCTTCCCTCTCCAGTCTGCTCCCCTGTGGCCCACCCTCCCAGCCCAGCACCTCCTAACCCCATGCCAGAGACAGGGTTCTGAGCTAGAAAGGACTTTTTTTCCCCCTCCTATTCCTTGCCTCTTAGGATTGTTTTTTTTCTCACGCAGGAAAAAGAAGGCCGGGGACTGGACTTAAGCAGTGGTTTAGTGGTGACTTCATTGTGCAAATCATCTTCTGTGCCAGCTTCCCAGAATGACCTGCGGCCCTAGGTCCCACCACCAGGCAATGCAATCTTTCTGGACATTGCCAGCCAATAGACTGGAAGAGGCTCTGGCAATGTGACAGAATACATGTTGGAAAGACTGCCTATTCTGCAACTCCTTATTAATGTTAAGTATTGATGGGTTAGAAGACAATTGTCTGAACCTCCTGAGACCCTGAAGCACCTTCTCATGTTCAGTAATCCTAGCACTCCTCCCCAAGCACACCCCTCTCAGGCCTCTGCGTCAGGCTCCGCCAGAGCAAGCCCAAGGCCAGCATTGCCCCTTTCCCAGCATACCTGTTGGTAGGTCAGCAGCATTTGGAAGAACCCACCATCTCCAGCCCTCTTTGGCCCAGCAGGCTCTGCATGTCCTCCAGGCTTTTTGTGTGCTCACACAGCCCTCTGTATTCATCTCTCTCAGACTTGCAGCCTCAATGGGCTTTTTGCCTGTGGGGTAATGTGTCTCTAGGCTGTTAGTCAAGCCAGCTGCCCGCCCAGCTGAGCTTTCTGCATCTCATCCCATTCCAGCTAGTTAGAATCAACTGAGAGATGTCCCTTGCCTGAAGCTACACGTGAAAATAATTTCCTTGTCTTATTTTGCAGTCCTTGCATCACTGTCTTCTGCTGGTCCTGATGTGGTCTGTTTCTAGAATTCTCTTAAGCATTTTTAGAAAAATATTTTTATAGAAAAATACTCAGGCTAACCTAGTGGATATAATCTTGGAGCTTCCATGATTACCCACTTAAAGATCAAAGTATTATATGCTGTGTGCTTTTTAGCTGTTAGTGCTATGAAAGCAAAAATGCTTTCTACGTTGGCCTTCCTGGTTTACTGGGTGCCAACAAGTGTGTGCTTATGCTGGAAGTAGGCTCAAAGGTCTCCCTTTCCTGCAGCATGTTAAGTGTTTGTACAGGTTTGCTAAAACCCTTTCTGTATAAATCAGTTAGGTTTTCTGTTGGGTTAGGGTCTCTGTAGTTCCTTCCTCCTATCAAAATCTCCCTACCAAGATGGTGTTCCACTGAGCTAGTTCAGCATGAGTTAGGAGAGAGCAGACAGCTTTACTGGTCACCTGTATGCTTTGATTTAGCACAGTATTTCATAGAAATTACTGACCAGAAAACACGGATGTCCCATCTCTAGAAAGAAAGAACATGGTATTTCAATTCCCAGTGTGTACCCTCTATTGTTTTTAAGTAAAAATGAGACTCTATACTGATTTCAGTCACCTGTTCTGGTTTTAAAGTATGAGCTATATAGACTGTGTTTTTCTGTACTGATGTATGGCGCTTATTAAATACTTTTGTACCATGAGTAAACCTGGAGGTGCGTTGCAAGAACTGTGATTCTTCACAGGGTCTTCCCTTCTTTACTGTCGTGGCTGCCATTGGGTCACTGCTACTCTGGTCTTTCACCCCTTTCAAGCCGAAGACTTGCCAGCTTTTTCAAATGCTGCCTCTCCTGGCCTTGCTTTCCCTTCTTGCCCTTTTGATAAAGAGGCCTGCGCACTGTAGGCCCAGCATGTTCGAAGTACTTGAAGACCTGTTGGTCGGTCTGCCTGGTGGGAAAAAGCCATGGATGTCGACAAGTCCAAAGAATCACTTATGAAAAACGAAAACAGAGGCAAATGGTTCTTTTCCACTCAGAGGGAAAAAAAAGCAGGAAGCCTGCTGTAGCTAAATATTAGCAGATAGGCTTTCTGATTTCTTATAAAACAAACTAGTGGGGCGCCTGGGTGGCTCAGTTGATTAAGCGTCTGCTTTCGGCTCAGGTCATGATCCCAGGGGTCCCAGGATTGAGCCTGCATCGGGCTCCCTGCATCGGGCTCCCTGCTCAGCAGGGAGTCTGCTTCTCCCTCTCCCCCTGCTCATGCTTGCATTCGCTCTGCAATAAAATCTTTAAAAAACCCAAAAAACAAAAAAACCACGAACTAGAAGCCTGTCTCTGTCCACACAGGAACTTCTGTTCTCGTGTGTCACCTCTGAGGGGCTCAGGGCTGGTGGGGCCTCCTCACCCGTGGAAAGCAATATTCACCTGAACTGCGGGGTCAAAGGATCGGGGAGGCACGGGCCTGAACCAAAAGGGAGGAGTCTGAGCACACTGATATCTGCAAGGGAGTAGTAGACTGTTGTAGCAGGTCAGGAACATTGAAGACTTCCTTACGATTTTGTGTCCTCTTTAGCCTCAAAAGAAAATGGGTCAATCCTTAAGACTGAACTCTCTTCTCTGGTTGAATCCTGGAACAACTAGAAACTGATCAAATTCTGAGACACTTGAGAATAAAAAGGGCTGCTGTTTGTGTTTCCAACAGGCAGAACTGGACCTGTCCGGGGCTGACTGGGACGTGGGTGTCTGGCCACACCCCCAAGCCCCCCCCCCCCCCGCCCCAGCTGGAGTTGTTGCCACAACTGTGAGACTGCTGTCCGGCTGCTGTCCGGCCATCTGCAGGGCTCTGTCCCAAGACCCCGCCCCCCCCATACCTGAGAGATCACGGATAGCACTGAACACTCTACTGTGTTTTTCCCTCTACATCCCCCCCATGACAAAAGTTCAATTTCAAAAGGCATAGTAAGAGAGAAAATAAAACCATTCTAACAACATACTGTTAACGAAAGTTACGTGAGTGTGGTCTCTCAAGATCTCTTACTGTCCTGTACTCTTCTGATGACGGGAGCTGACACAGCGCCGACAGGAGAGGAGAAGGGAGGAGGAGGGCGCAGGAGCCGGGAGCAGAGCGACCTTGCTGTCAGCCTTCTCAGGAGGATCATCTGCTTCCCGACCACCATTGGCCACAAGTCACAGAAACCGCAGAACGTCAGAATGTGAATCGGGAGACCGCTGTATTTACATTCTGATTGTCCCCGGGTTGTCCAAAAAGGACCCAGGGGTGCCCAAAAATGCCTTCAGCTGATGATTCAAAGCATGTGACTTGGTGGCAGCAGAAGCACGAGCTCAGTCAGGAGGACTGCCCCTCGCTGTGGTCTGCACCGGCTTCCTGAATCAAGCGTGGCCATCGGCTTTGATGACATGCTCCCTGAATTGCACAAAACCTTCCAGGGAGCTGACAGGAGGGCAATCTTGAGTCCAGCAAGATGACCTAATGAGCCTAAAGCTAGAGTCATGATTTAGTATTCAACTGAGACCCTTGTGAGAGTAAAAGGGGCTGTTCAACCTGTCGGGACACACGGCATTAGGCAGGGCCGTCCCCGGCAGGGCAGGCAGGAAGTGGGTCAGGCCGCCTCCGGTCAAGGACGTCACGGGTGCTGCTGAGCGACTCCAGAACCGGACTTGCCCTCCACAGGCATCTGGAACCCCTGTCACTGCCATCCTTACCCGCACCTTCCCAGAATTTATAAGCATCTACAACCAGGATTACCCAACACCTTTTCCAAATAAGTTCTTCCATCTTTATTTTTGGAAAAAAAAAAAAACCAAAAAAACAAAGTCACCACCAAGCACAGGACAACTCACCAGGCAAGGTCCCGGTTCCCTCTCCCTCCTCCATGGCCCCCGTGCCGCCTCAGCAGGGTCAGGGAAGCAGTCAGCATGGTTAGCTTTTCCCCAGGGGAGTATTAAAACAAGGGCTAGGGAGAGGGAGGAAGGCTGGCTGGGTATTTCATCACTGAGAAGTTGCTTCCAACCGATTGTTTGAAATCACTCACACATTTGGAATGCAGGAAAGGAAGACCATGCCGTCAGATACCATAACCCTCTTTCCACAAAGGTCCCCCTTGAAGCAGCCTCTGGTTTGGGGGAGGGTCAAGTCAGAATTGTGTTTTAAGGTGGTGGTCGTGGGGGGCACGTGGGGGGATCAGCCGGTTAAGTGGCCAACTCTTGATCTCAGCTCAGGTCTCAAGAGTCGTGAGTTCAAGCCCTGCACTGGGCTCCACGCGGGGCATGGAGCCTACTTACGAAGAAACAAATTGTGTTTTAAGGAATCAGACCGGTTTTGAAAACTTGCTCTGCAGTCCCAGAACAAAGACTAAGATAAATACATGTAGCTTGTTAGGCTTATCCTACGGAGGGTCGGGGGCTGCAGGTCTGGAGTCCTTGTTAGTGCACTTAGTGTTGGTGAGAAGCCTGGGCCCCAGCCTGGGACACTGAAGTCAAAAGACAAAGCAGAGACACTGACAGCCCTTTATCCCCCGTCACCTTCCACTAAACACGGACGATGGGCAGACGGTCTCAGCCACTGGCCTCCTTCCAGCCCCTGTGCGTGCTGACTTGGGCCAAACCAGAGGATGGATCCTGATTCCTTAGGAGTGCTGGGTGAGCCCGAGTCTGATGAGCAGAGCAAGTGTAGTCCCTTCCAGGCCGACTCCACAGAGGGCTCAGGCCTCGGGCTCACGGGCCGCCCCACGCTGGGACCCGGCTGCAGCCTTCAGCCCCAAGGTGGGCCATGGCACGGGCGGTCTAGGCGTAGCCCCCAGCCATCTGACTGGTGGCTGCATTGCTGCCCACTCCCCGCCAGGCCTGGAAGCTGAAGAAAGCGCTCACTCCGTAGGCAATCATCACTAAACACGAAAAGAACTGGAAGAGGAAGACACCAGAGCTGAGTCAGTGTGCAGCGTGGCCCGGGGCGGGGTGGGGGGGCCACGGGGGGACAGATACGAGCCCCAGACAGCCTCAGACAGGCACACACACACACCCGGAGTAGCGCCCCCCAGTTAACTAGAACAAGCCGCTCTGGTAGCCACGCCAACTCCAATTAGCCACACACTCATTTCCCACGTATTTGTGGGGGTGCCGACGTTACATCCTTGTGGGGGAAACCATGACTAACCACGCAGGCAAGGTAGATCAGACTGTGACACGGGCTATTGGACAATGTGCTGAGAGTGACCGAGGTGTAGGAACTCCCAGAGACACACATCAGGGACTTAGTTTTAAAAAGACAACGTTCAAAAGGTACCCAAGGAATTTTCTGGAATCAGTTCAAAGATGCCCTGCAGCCACATTCTGAAACTGAGGAAACCCACGCCCTGGTCTCGCTCCTGCCCTACCCTGGACTACGCCTTGGTGTGTTCACCTCTCTGAGCCTCAGTTTCCTTGTCTGTCCAGAGGGGACAGGACTGGTAGTTCCTGTCCCCTCACTGTGGAAGTCAGGGGGTCCTGTGAGGAAATGTCTGTGCAGGGCCCGTGGACTGAGGCGTGACAGGTGTGGACGAGGGTTACTGGTCTGCCGCTGGCTGCGTGATGTGGATGGAGCCCAAGTTTGGGCTTCCTGAGAGCTGTAAATCCCCCCAAATGGTTTCAACCAAAAGGTCTGCATGCACCCTTTTCAAGAACGGTGGGCAGTTTTTCACAGATTCTCCAAGGGGGCACAGGACTTTAAGTCAGTATGGAGCACCTGCTTGCCAGCAAAGTTCAACAATGAACCCAAAACTTCCATTTACCATCAAAAGTATTTCCCAAGCGTTCCGGTTCCTTGAGGTTTACTGCTAATTATGGAAGACAAAGCTCAGTGTCCCTGAAACCCCCGAGAAGGAGGTCCCTCGGGGGTGGCAGGTGCTGGCCTCGGACCAGAGAGTGGTAGAAGTCCAGGGGCACAGACTTGGTTTGACCCATTCCCTGCCCCCATCACTGCCAAGAGCGCCCCCGGGGAACCATACTCACAGAGGCCGCCGCACGCTGGTTATAGGGCCGGGTGCCCTTCAGTGACGTCAGCTCGACGGCAGCAGAGCAGGTGATGAAGGCCGTGATGTAGAGAACAGTGGCGCCCACGTTGAATATCATTAACTGGAGGGTAGGGGGAGAGGAGAACAGGCTTAAGACGGCAGACTCTTACAGTAAGTGTGGAACCTCTTGGTTCCCCCACACATACCTGGCACACCCCTTTAGTATCCAGAACAGGGGGCTGGGGCTCAAGGATGGGGACGGATACTACACTCCTCGGGATGGCAATCCACATGGGGTCAACCCGGAGGCCATCTGAGCGGGGAGCGCAAACACATGTAGGGCTGAGAGGGGAGGGGAAATGATGAGAAGGCCTGAAGTGATCTGGTCAGGGGCGGTGACAGCCCCACAAGGCAAAACCCCATTCCCAATGGCAGGAGACCAAGCCAAGGCCATCTCTGAGAGCACCAGCTAAAGAATTCCAGGGCCACGCTCTTCCATGCAAGCTTGACCCCCTTGGCACTGTAGGTCTTGGTCCTGAGGCTGGCCCTGGGAAGACCTCCCATCCCTCTCTGCCTCCAGGGGGAGCAATCTGTGTCTGCCTTTGGGCCACATCCCAGGCTCAAGGCCGCCACATCAAATGCCAGGGTGAGGACCCAGCAGAATTCTAGGCCACTCTGGCAGAAAGGACCCTCAGCTGACATTCAGGCCCGAGTCCCATTTCCCCAACCGCTTGGCCCCTGGAGCCAGTAAACAGTCTTAGCAGAGACTGCAAACTGGTGGACCTCAGGCACATTTGGTTCAACCTATATAGATTAAAAAAAAAAAAAAATTGCCAACATTCTAAAATGAGATTTCGTATGAAAAGCTGACGATCTCCTATAAAACTTTCAATCTTAAAATATTAAGATTTGGCACCAAGGGGCCCACTCCCACTGAGAGTAGGAGCCGGGCAGAGGTGGTTCCTTATGGAGAGGCGGGTACAGGTTCTCCAGAACCCCTTCTTGACCTATTTCACTCACTCACCTTGCCCAGGTCCCATAGGGGGCTTGTAGCCCCCATCCCAGAAAATGCCAATTTGACAAACCCAATCCAGTCATCTCTAGATGCAGTCAAGCTTCATCTGCTAATAAGCCCAGGAGTCTAAGAGACACTGCCCTGCTATCTTGGCCCAGGAAAGGAGCCTCCTTCCAACAACAGCTGTGGCCGGAGCCCCAGATCTGTGCTCAGAGACACCGAGGCCCCCGCCATCTTGGGAGATTTCTTTCTTCAAAGCTCCTAGGACATGGGGCCAGGACTGGACCCTAGCCAGGAAGTCCGGCCGTCCCCTCCTCATCCCAGGATCTTCCCTCCAAGCCCAGCGCCCACCACAAACACTGCCTGGCTCCTGCCAGTGATGTCAAGATCTAACAAACCCGTTCTGTCTTGAGGATGACTCACGTTTCCTCAGTTTAAACAGTCATTGAATTCCAAACAATGCCGCCTAGTCCCGGCCTTGCTTGCCTTACAATCATGTGCCTCTCTTGCCTCACTGCTCACTGAAAAGCCTCAGACCCCAGCTGCAGGAGTTTTCCGGGTCAGAGAAAAAAGCCCAGCAAGCTTTCTGTTATCTGGCCGGGGTACTTCCTATGGCCACTCTCAGCTCTGTGTGCCGAGGAGACTGACCTGGACAAAGCGGAGAGGCTACCCTCTCCTGGGCTGTCGGGGCCTCATCCTGGGTAATTCCTGATAGCTCATCCCAGCCCCCAGGCTCAGGGCTGCCAGAGTCTGACAGAACTCCTGCAACACAGGTTCAAATCCCAACTGCCCCCCAAACCAGAAAAACACTTTCAAGATTCCAAATGCAGCGGGTTCTCCATTTAAGAGCCCGTCATGGGGCGCCTGGGTGGCTCAGTGGTTAAGCGTCTGCCTTTGGCTCAGGTTGTGATCCCAGGGTCCTGGGATCAAGTCCAGCATCGGGTTGCCTGCTCAGCAGGGAGCCTGCTTCTCCCTCTGCCTGCTGCTCGCTCTGCTTGTGCTCTCTCTCTCAAATAAATAAATAAAATCTAAGAAAGAAAAAAAAAACGAGAGCCCCTCACTTCTACTCCCTTCCCTGAAGAAAGCCAAGCCTGTGTCCTCCCTAATTTGTGGCCATCGATCCTCCCTCCCCCACTCAGCTCTGCAGCTGGCTGAGAGCCAATCCCCACCAGCCACTTCTCATGTAGGGAAGGTGGCTCTGTCACAGCTGCTCCCAGAGGCAGAGGGGTCAGCCTGGAAGCAATGCCCGCCCCCCCAACACACACACCGTGCTCCCACTGGGACTCACCACCAGCGGCCAGGGCACCATGTACATTTTCATGTGCAGCTGAAACAGGTAGAGGATGAAGAAGACGATTGTCACCAGCCAGAGGAAGACAGCCACAAACATGACCCAGCCGTAGGCCGGGTACAGGTGGTACGGGGTGTCGGCAATCAGGGCCCACACCAGCAGCCCCAGCACCTGGAGGGATAAGACAGGGCCAGAGTCCCCCAGAGCCCCCACCACTCTGGCTGGAGGCCACGGGGCTCCCTCTGCAGGACACACTTCTCCTTTAGTCAAGAAATATTTATTTGGCTCCTACTGCATACCACTGTATACCAAGCCCTTGCCTGGTAACTCCTCCTTTCGGGTCTCAGCTGAAATGTTGCACGCTATGGGACACCTTTCCTGCTCCTCCAGTCTGGGTTCTAGAACCTTCTTTTGTGCCTGCCTGCCCCCTCCCCCCAGGCACCCACCACCCAGGACCAGGATTCTGTTTCCTTCCCCTGACTTGAGTTCCCTGAGGGCAGGACAGTGACTGTCTCATCCACAGCTGCATCCAGGCGGCCAGTACACCTCCCATGGAGCCATCCTGGCCTCCTCCACGGCTTTCACCCCTTTCCTTGCTGCCCAAGATCCCCGAGGCTGAGGCATCCTCCCTTCTCCATAAAGGCATGCTTTGGAATCTCTGGAGCTAGGCATGATTCAGCGCTGGCTGCTGAGGCAGGGATGGTCTAGCGGGGGGCTTTGGAGAAAGGCTCCTTTGCTGATGAAGAAGCACAAAGACAACTGTGCCTCTTCTTCCTTGGATGGCATCCAGGCATTGTGGCAGCAAGGCTCCAGGGGACCCTGCCACAGCCAGAAAATGAGCCAACCAGCAGACGGATCACAGAGAAGAGGCTCAGGAGCCAGATCCATCTCTGGCTGCCGGTTCTGGAGACAAAAACTCCCCTGGCCGAAAGCTCCTATACCGGCCCCTGGAGAGCTGGTGCTCACCCTGGAGCACGCACGGCCAGCACCGGGCACCTGCTGCACATGCCCGCCCCAGTGCCCCTGCCAAGGATCAAAGGGATGTTTCTGTACCCATCCCCCTACATGTGCGCAGTCAGGGCAGGAATGACCTTAGCCAGGTGGGCCAGGAGTCCAGAAATCCCTAGGAAAACGTTCCTTTCTCCTCCTCCTGCCCCTCCTGCACAAGAGGCCGGGGAAGGGTGTGGTTGGCTTTCTTCCCACTGTGAAGTGGGAGGTGGAGCCCCAGGCCTGGGAGCCAACAGCTGGGCTTCAATCCTGCCCATGCTGTGGGACCCTGGGCAAGCACCTTTCCCTCTCTGTGCAGCTCCCCCGGGGCAATTCCAGTCTCCCCACCAAAACACAGGTCCCGGGAGGAATCCGAGCTTGGTCACTGCTGTATCTCCAGGGCCCAGCGGTGCCTAGCACATATTACCTGCTCAGTGCATATGTGCACAGAGCTAACAAGCCTCAGTTTCCTTATCCGTGAAATGGAGGTCAAAAACCTGCCCTGCACAGGAAGCAGGTGTGAAATCGGTGAACGTGCTGCTGGCCCTGCCCCCCTCCACCCAGGGAAAGGTCTCAGCCCATGGTGGGGGGGTTGGGGCGAGAAAGGCATCCACTCCTTCTCTCCAGCAGGGATGCCACCCACATGGCTCCCCGCCGGTCTCAGGGCTGCCCCCTTTGCGCTCCCCGCCACCCACCAGAGATGGCCTGGCAGCGGCCCGTGCGGCCCACTTTGCAGGCGAGGAAGGCGGGACAGGTGGCAGGGCCCTGCCTGCAGGAACACAAGCCGGGGGCAGAGCCAGTGAGGACCCAGAGCCGGGGTGTCTCAGCCCAGGACCCCCACCTTTTACCACTCATCCTCAGGACACCCTGCCCGAGACAGACATATCAGGGGGGCCAAGAGCCCCCAGAGCTGGGTGAGGCCACTGCTCTGAAGGAGAACCACCCCCCCAACTCAGCACTTTCCAGGACCCTCCCAGGTGAGAACTGGACTCATCAGGGACAAACAGTCATCTTTCCACTTCAGTCAGAGTCCTTATGAGCCTCCAAGCCAACGTGCTGCCCGTTCCAACCACCAGAAAGGGAAGTTAGAAAAGGCACTGAACTGAAAATCAAGAGAAGACCAATTTGGGTTCACCCTAATGTGCACCTACCAATCAATTATCGTTATGATTACTCCTAGATTTGGCCGCAACAACCACTGAACGCCCTCCGGCTCTGTGCCAGGCCTCAGGTAAGCCATGAGGTTCACGGTTTCCCCATGACCCCCTCATCGGTTGGTACTATGTATTTTCCCCATTTTCCAAACACAAGCTCAGAGGGAAATGTGGCTGTAGCCACCCAAGGTCAACCGGGGGGTAAAGAGCAGGGCAGAATTTGAACCCAGATTTGTCCTTCTCTGGAACCCAGACCTGTCCTTCTCTGGAACCCAGACTAGTCAGAGTTAGTTAGTGATGTGTGAAAGGCGAGAGGACACCTGAAGCTGTCTCCTGGCTCTGCCCTGCCCTCCAGCTCAGCCCCGGGTCTCCAGATCAGCAAGTGCAGCCTCTGAGAGATGAAGCCGCCAGATAAGCAGCAGGAATTTCTGGGGTTCCTCCTGGCTTTGCCAACCTGGCCCTGTGCCCTGGGAGCTGCCTCGGTTTCTGCCCTCAAACAAGGAAAGGTCCACCCATCCCCTCAGAACCAGATAGACTGGTTTTTCCCGTCCACTCCCCCCCAGCCCCAAGAATCTGAACGGAGCACCCCAGCCTAGGGCCCCAGGGAGACCCCGCTCAGGACAGGGCGGCCCCACATACACCGACCCCTCGGCTAGCCTGAGCGGCCTCCTCTCCCTCCGGCTGTGGACCCGTCCTCTAGCCAGAAGAAAGGGTCAGAGGACTTGTCCTGTGGTCCACTGTGCAAGAGTAAACCCCACTTTCCAGAGAGAGGGGGACAGCAGGAGGTAGCCGAGGCTGGAGAGCAGAAGAAGGCCACCTGTCTCCAGGGCCTGGCCCAGGCTCCTCTGTCCAGGACAGCCGCCTTGCAGCTCAGATGCCCCTCTCTGGGATCATTCATTCAACAAGTATCTACCGGACATGTACTGCCTTGTGAGCCAAACAGACAAACAGCCCTGCTCTCCCACTGTTCCCTCTCTACTGAGGGGACCCAGATAAAAGCCCAATGCATTGGTGAATGCAAGCGAGCCACCGGGTAAGTGCTATGGGAAAAATGCAGCTGAGAAGAGACAGGCAGTGGGGTCATTTGCAGTTTCAGGTAAGAGGCCAAGAAGGATCTCACTGGGAAGGCGACCTGTGAGCAGCCGGAACAGCAAGGACTGAGGCCAGGAGAGAGGCACAGAACGGATTCTCCTTCAGAGCCTCCAGAAGAAACCGACTATGCCAACATCTTGCAAACTTCTAGCCTCCAGGACTGTGAGACAGTAACTTTCTACGTAGAGTCTGAAGCCTCCCAGTTTATGGTGTTTTCGTTATAGCAGCCCCGGGAAACCAATACATCTTAGCTACTCTTTGACAGCAGATGGATGTCCTGATCTGACTGTGATCTCGCCATCAGTTTTGATGGAAGCCTGGCCCACTAACTCCCTGGGTCAGGCTCCGGCCCTGCCAACTTACCAGCTACGTGACCTGGGCCAAGTCGCTGAACCTCTCTGTGCCTTAGTGTCCTCATCTTCAAAATGTGCCTACCTCAGGGGGTAGTTCTGAGATGAAAGTAATATACAGGGACGCCTGGGTGGCTCAGTTGGTTAAGTGGCTGCCTTCAGCTCAGGTCATGATCCCAGGGTCCTGGGATCGAGTCCCACATCAGGCTCCTTGCTCAGCAAGGAACCTGTTTCTCCCTCTGCCACTGCCCCTCCCTCTGCTTATGCACACGCTCTCTCTCTGACAAATAAAAAATCTTAAAAAAAAACTTAAAAAAAAAGGTAATATACCTAAGGGACTTAGATAAACGCATTCTACTGTCATTATCAACCTGAGAGGCTGGAATGTGGGTTTTCCAATCCATTCTCTGCCCACGTTCCTAAGGTGGTAGCAGTAATTGTGTGCGCAGTTCCTAGGGGTACGAGGCCTCACTGAGATAAAGAATATTATCTAAACTTAAGCACCAGGCGCGGTGCCTGGCAGCTAAAGGCCCCATGCCATTGTGGGCCCCACCTGTCTTTCAGATAAGGCAGCCGGGCTTATTTGAAGGGAGGCCCCAGAAGGGCAGCCCCGCCGGGACCAACCCAGCCCAAGACAGCCTCCTGGAAGGGCACTCCCTCTGTTCCTCACAGGCTGAGGGGCTCTGGGGAGAAGCCCTCATCCTCAGACCTCAGTCTTCCCCTCAGTACAATGCAAGCAGGGAGGTTTCACTTAGCGCTCTCCAAGGCTCCCTTCAATCTGGGCCTGACACTCCTCAATTGCACACCTTCCCCAGGGGGGCCCAGAACCCTCTCCCCCTGGTACGGGAGGGACTCCACCAGCCCCAACACTAAGCTAAGTCTTCTCCCGCCCAAAGATGGTCACTCTTCTAATCCCTCTCCACTTCCTGGGCTGGGTCAGACCCTTGTGGATTTGCTGTGTGACCTTGGGAGAGTCTCCCAAACTTTCTGGTCTGTTTCTTCATCTGACATGTGAGAGGGTTGGGCAGGTACACCCATCCTGGTCACCTCACAGGCATGTCACTGCAAGTAAAATGCCGTGAAGGAAAAAGTCAATAGCTGTAAGTGGTCAGGTGTGGTATGAGGGCTGCTGGGCTCTGGGGAGGGAGATGGGTGGAGGGGCGAATCTCCCAGAGTGGGGAGCCTCCAGGAGGGGCAGAACCTCAGAGCCTGGAGGCTGACACTGGGGACTCAAACTCAGCCAAGGCAGGCAGGTCACAGAAATGGCCAAGGAGGGCCGGGGCGGGGGGGACTGCAGAGCTGAGAGCAGCCTGCTGGCATGGGGGCAGGGGGGAGGGGAATGATGCCTGGGGTAACCAAGACTTCCAATTTTCCAAGAGACACTAGAAATCTGAATTTGTATGTGAAATCTTCAGCTTTTTAAATGTTGGCAATGAACCCAAAGGTTGCGGAGACAATGTGAGGATGGGGCCCATCCAAAAGCCTCCAGAACCCCCTTCTCCCCACTGCACTTTCCAGGAAACTGAGGCCCAGGGGCGACATGAACCCTTCTGGGGTTCCCCCTCACAGGGACACATCTGGGCAGCTGAGGACACTCTGAACTTGGCCTGGCCAGGCCCAGCCTCCACCCCCGCCCTGGCCCTTCTCCCGACAGTGAAAGGGACTTTATGGGGACAAAAAGCCACCCATTGTGTCAGAGGAGACAAAGGCGCAGGGGACAGAGGCTCCGGGGCGCCTGAACTGGCCACAACAAATCCACACACCACCCCCTCCCTGTGCAGAGGTGGCGGGCTGGGGAGGGGGGGACAGAGGGAAGGCTCCCTGGAATCCCCGCACTGTAAACCCCGGGCACTCGGGAGTCCTGGGGGCCGCCTCCCAGCTCCACCACCTGCGGCCACAGGTTTCACGCCTCTCAGCCTCCCTTTCACTGCAAAGCCATCATTTGGTCATTGAACAAAGTCTCCTGAGGGCCCGCTGTGTGCCCTTACAGACCCTGGGGGTGAAGCAGGGAGCCCGCAGCCAAGTCCCCCCGCCCCCGCACACATGCACGCACGCACCTCCCAGCCTGGGCTGTTGCAGAGAAGGTGGTGAGGATGGAAATGCTGGCTCAGGGCCTGGTTCACCTGCTGGCTTTCCAAATGCGGCCTGTCACATTACTTGCTATTCCTCAGTCTTGAGTCTCGGAACTGCGGTTTTTAAGCCCTAGAGATGGAAGCGATTTCTGCACACCTACCCCAGCAGCCCCCAGAGCCCCCCTAGCGAGGACCTCCGGTGCATGTGTGCACGCTGCATGTGGAGGGGCCCACTGCTACCATGGTGACTTTCAGAGTTTTAGAAAAATCTTCCCAACATTAAGCTCAGACTGCCTCCTGCATATCCTCATGCCAGTTCCCAATCCCTGCACTGTGGCCCGGGGGGATGGAGCTGCCCAGAGGGGAGGAAGGGTTTCCCTGTGGAAGGGTCTCCACATTACAGGAGGTGGGGACACTCTCCTGAGGACCTGAGCAGAGAAGGGCCAGGGCAGACCTCCAACCCCTGGGCAGAGGGGATGACAGAAGCTTCTGTTCTTAGCAACCCCCAGGGAGTGGCAGTGGGGTTGGCCCTCCAGAGAGATCTGGCTGTTGGAGCACATGGAACTTCATCAAACTTGGGAGGCCTGGCGTCCACCCTGGGAACAGGGTGATGGGGGAGCCTGAAGTGAAGCTCTTCCTTACTCCCTGGACTTCCTTCTTCAGACACTGGCTCTAATTCTGATCCTGGCAGTCATGATGAGGGTGACCTTGAGCAAACCCTGCCCCATCTCAACTTCAAGGAGGGACAGGTGACCTCATCTGGCTAACCTCATAGAGGGCAGCAGATGACCTGTCTGCCCACCTCCACCCCCAAATTACAGGCCCAGGTCAGTTGCCCAGCAGCTCATATGCTGAGTCCTGCCTAACCTTTAGCCCTTGTCTCCTTGTCCTGACTGTCCCCATGTGTGAGCTCCTGGGGTGCCACCCTGGCCTCTCCCTCTTGGGCAAACAGGACAGGCCAACCCAGACCAACAGCAAAGGGCCTGTTAATATCCAGGGCCGAGCTCACTGGGCTGCCAAGAAAACCAGCTCACCCCTCCCTGCCCACCAGGCAGGTTCCCAGTGGCCATGGGGACCAGGGCAGCACCCGTGTGGATCCCCGAGACCACTGATGAGCAGGAAATCAGGGCCTGGGCCTCACTGAATTCCACCACCAACCACTCACCGGCGGCCAAGGGGTGACCACCACCTGACCCTGTCACACATACAGAAGCAGCAACCATCCACCATCCACCATACGTGGACAGCTCTGCAGCCTCTTTCCATGTACACCTGGTTAAGAAAACCACCTAAGGTCACCCAGCCCGTAACACTGAACTCAAGGCTATGCTTGCTGCCGTGTGTTCATGGGAGGGTGTCTTCCCCAAACGGGGCCTGAGGGGCCTTCAAGGGCCACCTTCACAGTTTTGGTCACAAGCACAAACTACCTGTACTACGTTTTTGCTCTGTCTTTTCATGTATTTGAAAGATTTTTAAATAAGTTGTATCATTTATTTTTAAAATACATAATCTGTATGACATGGTGGGTAACAAAATGGGTGTTTTTAGCATGTCTCCCTCCTCTCCTAATACTCAGTTTCTTCACCAGGGACAACCAAGAGGGGTTTCTTAGGTCTCTCTTCAGAGACTGCGCACGCACACACACACACTTTAAACAGGTGTTGTCTCTATTTAGTCTCTCTGTATTTCTCCCATACACGATAGTATTCTACACACACAGTTTTGCACCTTGCCTCTTCCACTGAACCATACAGCCTGGAGACTGTCCATCATTACATAGACAGCTGCCTTCCTGTCTTCTGGGAGGGGTAAGGCATTATCTTTTTACGAACTGCATGATATGCCACTGTACAAATGTACCGTAATTGACTGTAACAGTGCGTGTCAACTGTTTCAATTAAAAAATAAATAAGGGGGGGGCGCCTGGGTGGCTCAGTCAGTTGGGTGTCTGCCTTCGGCTCGGGTTGTATTCCCCGCGTCCTGGGATTGCGCCCTGTGTCGGGCTCCCTGCTCGGTGGGGAGCCTGCTTCTCCCTCTCCCTCTGCCTGCCTACTTGTGATCTCTCTCTCTCCCTCTGTCAAATAAATAAATAAAACCTTTAAAATACATACATACATACATACATAACTAAGTAAGGGATGCCTGGGTGGCTCAGTCGGTTAAGCATCTGCCTTTGGCTCAGGTCATGATCCCAGGGTCCTGGGATTGAGCCCAGCATTGGGCTCCTTGCTCACTGGGGAGCCTGCTTCTCCCTCTGCCTGCCACTCCCCCAGCTTGTATGCTCTCTCTCTCTGACAAATAAATAAATATTTAAAAATAAATAAATAAAATGCTGATGGAAAATTAAAAAACAACAGAAGTCTGTGTGGCATAAAAAAACACTATGAGCAAAGTCAAAAACAACACTAGGAAAAAAATATCTGCCAATCATCTGGAGGTCCTAGCAAATGGTAAGAGACTTAGGATGCCGCAGAATGGAGAAAGAGGACAGACAGACAGCAAGATACAAACAACTCTTCAACAATGTGTTTTTCCAAGGCCAACCTCATTCATAAGGGAACTACAAAACACTACTATCCCGAGCAATGGGAGGGGCACAGACCCAGGTGCTGATTCACCATGCTGGTGACCCGTCTGGAGGGCATTTGGCAAGCTCTACCAAAATCACGCACACACACACCCAGAGCCAGCAGTCCCATTTCTGGAAATGTACTGCACAGATGCGCTCAGTGGCTCGTGTGGGCTCATTCACTGCAACAGGGTGCGCAACAGCAAGAGTGGGAACCCCAGGTGTCTGTCCACAAAGGGATGGGCCACACAAGTCCCACGGCAACCACACAATGGACCACTGCGAAGCCCTAAGGCAGAAGTGATCGCACTCCATACACGGAGACAAGACCACCAAGACACATTTTTACATGAAAAAGGAGCAGGTACAGAAGGATGTGGATGGAGGGGCGCCTGGGTGGCTCAGT